CTATGACCATCCAATTTGGCTTTTTATTATCCTGTCTGAACATCCCATATACAGATAGACTTATCCCCACTACCAGATGCTAATTTAGTTCCATCAGGTGAAAAGCATACTGACCAGACTGAATTACTATGACCATCTAATTAAATTTTTTATTATCCTGTCTTAAAATCCCATAAACGGATAGAGTTATCTCTACTACTAGATGCTAATGTAGTTCCATCAGGTGAGAAGCATACTGACCAGACTGAATCATTATGACCATCTAACAAAGTTTTTTATTATCCGGTCTTAACATCCCATAAACGGATAGAGTTATCCCTACTACTAGATGCTAATGTAGATCCATCAGGTGAAAAGCAAACTGATTGGATATAATTGCTATGACCATCTAATTTGGCTTTTTATTATTCTGTCTTAACATCCCATAAACGGATAGACTAATCATAACTACCAGATGCTAGCGTAGTTCCATCAGGTGAGAAACATACTGATTGAACATAATTAGTATGACCATCTAAGAAGGCCTTTTATTTTCCTATGATGACATCCCATAAACGGATAGAGTTGTCTCCACTACCAGATGCTAAAATAGTTCCATCAGGTGAGAAGCATACTGAGTTGACTTAATCAATATGACCATCTAATTAGGCTTTTTATTATCCTGTCTTCGCATCCCATAAACGAAAAAAGTTATCTCCGCCACCAGATGCTAGAGTAGTTCCATCAGGTGAGAAGCATATTGAAAAGACTGAGTTACTATGACCATCCAATATATTTAGTTCGTGAATTTTTATGTTTATCCACTTACAATTTAATAGAAGAGCTCCATTTAAATTCAATCCACTTATGTCAACATTGTTAAATTCCGATCCACTCAAATTGCATTTAACAAAATTTCCTCCAATTAACGAAGTATTTTTGATCCTGATATTTTCAAAGGATTGATTCGCCAAATTAACCTTCAAACCAACTAATAAATTTAACCCATTCGATCCACATTAAATAAATCTTTCGTCGATTGTTGTGAGGTAAACTAAAAATCTTAATAATTCAATGATCTTCTTATTTCCTGCTATCTTTATTATTAGATTAAATCTTTCGTTTTCATAAGTTTTTATACAATATTAATTTTTACTAAAGTTATGATCCTAAATATTTCGCAAAATATTTGTGAATTTTTTAATTATTTATTTCACGTCCCTTAAATTCATTGACTTATTGATGATTAATTCGTAGAACTTTTAATTTTCTAACTTTGAAAGAAATCCTGAAAATTCTTAAATTTTCTCTTTTTTAAGTATTTCAATTATTAAATTAAATATTGATTCATCAATATCCTAAACTTAGGCTAAAATTTCATAAAGATCATCTTTCCTTTCATAAACTTCATATTCTTCTTAATTAGATTGAATGTATTAATTATTACTTTCTTATCTTATAATCTCTTTCATATCTTTTTTTATCATCTCACTAAAAGTCTTAATTTCTTAACTCCACTAATTCTTTATCTTTTCTAATTTGATTATATAAGAATTCTTCTAAACTTACCAATCTTTAAATTTTTCTCCTTCTAAAATTTATACTAACATCTCTAAATTAGTATTTGACAGTTCTGCTGGATTCATGTTGTTATTAATGATTTAAAAATATGATTTATCTTATGCCTCTATCATATCGTAAATCTATTTTATTGATTCTGTTAAATCTTCCCAAATTTACCTTAACCTACTTTCGGTTTGAGAGAGCATGGATTTAAAAGCCATTCTCTATTTGGTGACTTCAGATGTCTGTTCGAGCTTAGATTCTTACAGTTTTTTGACGATCTTTTCTTAAAATTAATTTATCGGCACTGTTTATTTAATGACATCCACTCCATGATCATCAATACATTTAACACACAGCTTCCTTTAATATTTACACTTGTGAAGAGCTATACATATGAATGATACTTGATTTTGAATATGATAAGTGCAATTCATATTTTTTTTTAATGATTGAATTTCTATTACTTTGTTTAATTTTTAGATCACAAATCGAAAAAGTATTATTTTTTGTCAAAAAAAAAAAAGATGGAAATACAATTTTGAAAAGATTTTTACTTTGTAGCAATTTACAAAAATCAAATAAAAGTCTGATAGCAAAGAAGATATTAATAATATTGTTAACATTATACATAATATGTTAATATAACGACTGCAGGCATTATAGTCTTTTCCTATAATCTAATTGTTTTAATACCATTTGGTTCTAAAATATTACATTCTGGATTTAATTATATTAATTATAGGGTATGAGTTTCAATACTATACATTATTTAATTATGTTCTTTTATATTAATAATATAATTTATTATTATAATACTACTTTTTAAGTGTATCAATTTAGTCTAAAAAGTATGCTAAACTTAAAATATTTAATTACATCTTTCTTCAGGAAAAATAGATAATGGATAATATTTATTTATTGTAATTATCTTAATTTTATTATTAAAGTTGATATGTTAAGGATTTTAAGAAAAGTTTGAAAAAATGACTTTAGGAATATTAATTCTAATCTGGTAATCATTTAATCCACTAGCATAAGTACAGTTTTTATTATAATCTCCTTCTAATAATAGACTTAAGGAATCCCTTTTCTACAGAAGCATTATCTTAACTAAGATGTTAATACAGTTTCGCTTCATAGTATAATTATGGATGTTAGGCACTCATAGGCTCTAAAGTAATAGCTACTTCTATATTATTTTTAAGCTAATATAGAGTTTAAATTGCATTCATTTACATAAGACTATATAAAATATAAACGTTTTTAAATGAGAATTGAAAGTTTATATATTTTTCCTTAAAGTACATTAATCAATTAAGTTAAATAGCTTAACTAAAAATTTTTAATTAATCTTTAGAAATTCAACACTTTCATGATGAAAATTAAAAGAAAAACTTATAAAAATATGATTTAAAATTGAATTTTGATCAGATTCTTAACTTCATTTAAATTTTTAAGTTTTAAATTTATTTTATACTCATATAATTTCAATCCCTATATATATATATTTGCAACCTTATTTTTGTTAAGAATGTTTGAATGAAAAAGTATATTCAGATAGTTATTTCTAAAAAGAATTCATCGATGTATTTAGGGTTATTTCAATGTAAAAATTGATGAGTAAAATTCATATAGCTCTGGTTTTTAATATAAGCGAGGAAAATTGTTTATGATGTCGATTTTCAAAAATTATAGAGTTTAGAGGGGAGGAAAGATTAAGTAGTTGATTTCATACTAAAAACTTAAAATATGGAAGAAAGGAATCTTATAATAAAAAATTAGAATATTTAATATGTTACTTAGAATATAATGTGTAACAATAAAGGAATAAATGGAAAGAGTGCAACATATAAGACTTAATTGTACTTTTCTGTAAAAGGGACGGATGAGTTCACTTTTTTGCTGAGGGATGGATAAAAAAAATTTAGTAAAATTTGGATATCGAATAATTAGTGTTGAAAAGCAACTTTAGATTTTACTTTTTAAGTTGGAATTTAGTTTTTTTTTAAGTAGAACCATAAGTTGAGATATTTAATGGGTATTTAAAAACAAATTAATTTAGAGATAATTTAGATTAAAATAAATTATATTAAATAAACTAGCAAATATATAGAAAACTGCATAATAAGAATTTTAGTTGTAAAAAACAAACTTTTGAATTTAGAATAAAAATTTGAAAAATTCCTAAAAAAGTAAAAAGGAGCATAATCAAAATAGGTTCCTTATGAAAATTTTAAAAAGAAGAATTTGAATGCATTTTAGCTATCAACAATTTCAAATAAATGAAATTAGTTTAAAGTAATTATCATTTAAGTGTAGTATTCGTTCTTTTTAGAATTGCATTTTGTAAAAATTCTTAAATAATTACTTTTCTTTATTCTTCAAAGGCTTAAGTTGAAATTTGTTCATCTCCTAAGATTTCAATATATGAGATTTTGTGGGCTCATTTAATTGTAGGCTGGGAGTTCTAAAAATATTACCCAATTCTCATTTGTTTAACAATTAGAGGCTCATAAAATAAACAAACTATGTCATGAAGAATAATTATCAAAAAACAATTTAAAAATAATTAAAATTAATTTATCTATTCTCAAAAAAATCTAAAAAAAATCCAAAAAAATTGAGCCCACCTATGTATTAGTCCGACCCTAGTATTATCAAAAAATAAAATAAAATTAAGAGAAGTTGTAGTTAAGGAAAATATTTTATGCTCTATGTAAAAATTTTTTTTTTATTCAAGCAATTAAATATACCAAATTCAACACCATGTTTAGAAAATACAACATCATGTGACTTCTGAGGCAAACCTACTAGTGGGCAAACCCAAACTCTTCAAATAGTTTATATTTACTTTTCATTTTCTCCAATCATTTGAATAATAAATTTAGAATGCCGATAAAACTAATTATATCATAATTAATTGTATTTTAAGAACAATCAATTTAATCAAGTATTATATCTTAATTTTAGAATTTTATAAGTAAAAATTGACAGGATATCTTTTAGAATATATATTCAAATTCTAAAATCTCTGCTTTTTAAATGTAATAAGGTTTAAAGAAAATAATTAAAATTAATTAATTATTAACTTCATTCAATTTCTTCATCTTCTACTAATCCTCCTTAATGGCATCCTTCCTCATAGTCTTTACAAAGGGCAAAAAAATCTTCTCTACATGTATACATTTCTGATTCACGTCCTTCTCCACTAAACCAATGAACAAAGGCTCTTTTTGCATAGAGCTTTTCATATTTTTTCCAAGATTATCAAAATAATTACAAACAGAAGCGTCATTTGAGAAAAATATATCAGTTTACCTTAATTAGGCTAGTCCTGGAATAACTGCATAATTTTCTGATTAACATTTAAAAATATTAGGAGTTTCTTAATGTATTGTTCTAATTTTCTCTAGGGTTAAATTATATTAACCAAAAAAAGGATTCATGTATTTAGAACGATGAACAAAACTAGCACAAATGTGGGTAGGTTTGATTTCACATTATAATAATCTTTATTCTGGTTTTATTACATATGTAATAAGTGATTTTTCATTAAATTCTTAATTGATTTAGTCATCAATAGATGCTAAAGGTTCCTATTATGGAATTATATAATGAAGTCTTGGATAGGGACAAAGCCCTGAAAATAATTTAGTGTTATTAATTTTGCTAAATCTTCTTAAACCAGTGTAAATGCTAATAATTTTTGATACTAGATTATTAAAGTGAGTATAATCAACAAAATCTAAGCCGATCTGCAGATCTATGACACTATACATTGATTGATTATCAAACATAACAACAGAATTACAATGCTCTAATGTCATATTAGTAGTTAAAACAGCATTATAGACATCTACTATATTATTAGACATTCTTTATGAAGGATATATAAAGAATGCATTTTTTTCAACTTTTAGATTATATTCAACCGATAATCTTTCCAACACGAAAGTAGTAAATCCTGATCCTGTTCCACCACTTAAGGCACATGTTACAATGAATTAATCTAATCTATCTATGCTTTCTACTTATTTTCTTACTTAGTTTAATGCAATATCACACATTTCCTTTCTAGTGTAATAAGCCTTAAAATAATTGTTGGCAGCATCTTCTTTTCCTGTAACAAAAGAATTAGATTTATAATGAATAGATTTATTCTTTTTAACTTCGTTTATCATTCGATCATCTAAATCTGCATAAAGTGATAGTGGATAATTATTATTATCACTTTCAGTATAAATATATTTTCTTTACATTTGTATCACTCTATTCCTTTGTATAAAGTTTCCATAAGATATCTGCAACAGACCTGATTAAGGTGGTCAAACACATTTCAACCTTTATTTATATTTTCTTACAAGAATCAGTCAATAGAACTAGTAGCCTATTGTAAAAACCAAAATTATTTCTCTGCCTACTTTTGGAAAAATAACATCCGAATCACGATACATAATCGTAAATCCTTGGATATCTTCTCTAACAATTTAATTTAAGCTGTCGTTTATGGCTTCAATAAAACCATGCACAAAACTTATAATATTAATCAGCAATCTTTTGATCTTAGAATCATTAGAGGCTTTTTGGAAAATCTTTTAGACTAGTAGCCTTATTTTCTTTTTAATTTTCCATCTCAAATACATATTTATTTCATATCGATATAAAATAATTCTCCTACTTGCTGAAGTAGCAACATAAAGGCAAAGAATGTCAATTAACCTACTTTTATTATATAATCCATAGTTGTTTCAGTTACTAATATGCCATCCTTTTTAAGGTACTACGTTGAATTAAAATGCTAGCAATAATTCCTTGTCCTTTATCTATTTTTGATTTAATTACTTAACTTAATTATTAACTTTGCCTTTCTAAGCGCATTTCGGTGTAAGCTTCTTAATTTGGAATAATAATAAATTTAATCATTCAATTGGCAAAACTATAAGATCCTATATTCCACCTGCCTCCTACAACTGCTATATCTATATAGAGATATAGGGTAATACCATCACGATATAGTTCATAATATTATAACTCTTAGCAAAAATGGAGAATATTATAACTAAAATTCCAAATTCTCCTGATGATGATCCAGATTATGAATTATTATTACCTGCTACATATAACAAAAATGTATTCTTTACTAAAAAGTAAAAAATAAGAATTACCTTTAAATATTCATCATTAAAAAAAATCAAGGTAATATTTTAAATTACACACAGCTAAAAAACTTATGGAGTTTAATTTGAAGTTACTTCTGTATTTGGAATATTCAGCAATGATGGCAAATATCTAATGATCTGGGATTTTAAGAATAATAAATCATACTCATCAATTTAATATTTGATTTAGATTGCCTTGTTTTTAGAGAAAACTAATTATCTTGTGTGAACATCGAAAGATTGGACTACGATCCAAATTTACAATTTATATATAGAAATGATTAACATAAAAGAATAGGAAATAAACTTATCTTTATTGTACCTCATTAGATGAATCTTTTACTCTTAGAGCTTAGTTAATAATTTCATCAACTAATATAACCTCATCTTATATGATACTTTATTATAATAAGCATTAAGTATTTTTATTTAACTTGTAAATGAGGATTAAAAAATGAAAAGCTTTAAAAAGATGTCACATGCAAAATAACTTTTAACTTCGATATATCTCTTTATTTATCAGTTTAATAAATTCTCATAAAGAATTAGTTGATGGAACTTCAATAATAAAAAAACATTAAAATTTAAAATTATTTTTTACTAAAAAATCCCTAATTAATTTGCAGGTCTAAAAATGTATTTTCTCCAAATTGATGATTTAATTTATTCTAATTAAAATTTAAAGCAATGAGCATTAATGATTTAAATCAAATAGTGAGAGAAATTATGGATAGAATGTTAAAATTATAATCTGGGGAAGATTCAGAAGGAAGGAGATCAAGTTAATAATTATCTTGTCTAATGATGATGATTTATGAAAAAATTAACTAGAAATAGCGAATGAATTTTTGAGAAAATGTCAAAAATATATTTAGTTTAGTGTATTCTCAAGATCCTTCATTAATTAAAAGGAACAGGAGTTTATTTAGTAATTTATAAATTTTTAATTTAATTGTTCCTTGAAAATAATTTCAGATTATTAAAACTCAGGCAATAATTAATTATCTTAAAAAAATTCTGCTAATCTTACTTTAAAATAATATTATTTTACTTCATGTAAAATAATCACATGTTTATAGATAATAACCATCTTATATTTCACTTAATCCTTTATAAAAGTATGCCAATAGGTCTTTTCCTGATTTTAGTTTTTTTTTAAAATATCTTTATATAATTTATTATTTGTCGATAGATATATTCTTATATTAATTGTGTTTTATTATTATTTTATTTTTAAACGATGACATCAAAAATCTTAATTTTGATCATAATTGTCGTGGCTGCAATAGAATAACTTAAATTTTAACCATGTGATACAAAACTTAGCATACTCAAATTATTTCCAACTAGAGTTGAAGCCTTAGATTGGGATTTAAAAGATGCATTCTTTGAAGCCTGTTTTGAAAAAGAAATGATAGAAAGTAAGGATGAATCATTTTGTATTCATTTGAGTGGAATTGGATTAAATAGATTCATTTTATGCAGATAAGGTGAAAATGTTACAACTCCTTAATTTAATAAGAAGATCGCATCACAAGAGAAAGTTCATATCTTTCATGTCTTGGAGTAGATTATCTGAATAATACCAGATCATTTTGGATTTTATTGATAGTTAAAAATTACCATTCACAATCAATTTTTTATAATTGATAAGAATGGATATAAGGAAAAAATTCATTAGAATGAAAATTATAATAATTATAAAGTGAATACATAAACAATTGTGTTTACAAATAAATTAGGACATGAGCAAACGTTCTTCTTTAGATTAACTCCAGTATATGCAACTTAAAGATCAGGATTAGATTAATCATCTTTAATTAAAGTATTCTATATAGAAAGTGTGGAACACCAAGATTATAAAGTATTTTAGATAAACCAACTTTAGGAGTAGTGACAGATGTATGAAAAGTTTATCTTTTAATTGATTGATTTCAAAGTTTTTTCAAATGGATTAGTTTATATATTGACAGCAAAAGATGGAATATATGTTTTAGAAATGTTGAATTCAGTTTCATAGAAAGAATAGTTATATCTAAGCTTGGAAATTAGATGTAGATTATTTATTATAGTAGATGTAGCAATTAGGAAGTCATTGCTATTATATATAGTTAAATATATTAAATAAGATAGGAAATATAAAAAAAGATAATTAATTATCTAATGATTTTATTCAAGTAGTAGAAGATAAGGTATTTGTTAATAATTATATTTCGAATTTAAAAGCTTAAATCCAGCAACTCTAGTTATTTCATAATAATTTTGAATAATTTAAAAAAGGGTATAACATATCTGTTCAGTAGGTCATGAAAATTTGATTTACTCAAAAGATATTATTAATCCATCTTAAACTGAATTGATTTCAATTACTTAAGTCAATTACTCATGATTAATTAAGATTCCCAAGTACATAATGTACAACTTAAACTTTATCATAATTTACTCTGATTATTAGTATAATCAAGAGATGAATTATAAATTCCAAGTTTATTATATGATATTCCAGAACCATTCAATATTGATCCACTATCATTGAACCTAATTTAAATTGACTTACATTATTATCACAAAAAGAAAGTACAACAATATCAGCAAAAATAACTTAATTATTAGAGATGCTACTTGAATCAATAAGTTTACTGAGTTCATCTTAGGTAATATATTCAGATGTATTAATATTTGATTCATAAGATAGAAGTTTTGCTCTACTTTTATAAACATTAAATTACAATTAGAGTTAGAGTTGTTAATAGTACTATTCTTAAAATTTAATATCCAGCTGAAACTCTTAATAAAATTACAAGTGTTACTGTTTTCAGGCACATTTAAAAGATATCATATTATTAATACTTCTCTAAACATAAGATAAAGATTTCTTTATTTAACCAATTAATAAACACTCAGAAGGATTAATTGCTGATAGTTAAAACAATGAAGAAACAAATTATTCTATAAACAACTCAATACTCACTACTGAAGATGGAATTTACATCTTTGCAACTTGTCAACTCAATAACAAAAAAGTATTTCATATTAATAAATTTAGAACTACATGACTACTTGAATGTATCTATTTAGAACTGATGGAACCTTTAATGTATATTCATTGGCTGTCAAAGGTAATTATGTCTTTGTGTTGAATTATAATTCTCAAAGACCCAAAAATTTTTTAGGATCTCTTAGTGTCTATTAAATCTTTATACCTTTATAAACTAAGTTCAATTTATTACAGAAACAAGTTCATTTTATTAAGTTTTGAAATTATCAACTCCTTAGTACTAATCATCTGATCAAACTATTAAACTTAGAGTCCTCATTACACCGATAAATTTATGCAATCTCATTGGTTTTTGATGCCAAATCTGTTTCAACTAATATTCCTTTAACATCCTATCAAAATGTTATCTATCTTTTAAATAAATATTCTAAATTAATTCGATTGAATTTTCATTTTAATAATTATTAAGTCACTTCTTTTTTATTTATATAGAATTAGATAAGAATTCAATTTTAGTGGATGGCTTAAATATTTAGAGTTAATTATGGAGGAGATTAGATATTTATAAATTTTACTATTAAAGATTTGGCACAGTACAATAAGGTGATTTCACTAAAACAGTCTCATTCTGATATCACTTTAACTTATGTTTAATTAATTATAACTGCAGCTTATCCTTTTTTAAATAAAATAGGAAGTAGCCTAAAATAGCTTTCATTATTTATTTAATCTCTTATTAAAATTTGAACAAATCACTTTTCTATTTACAAGACACAAAGTTTTTTATTAGAAAATTTATTGCTTATTGAGTCAAATTAATAAAATTAAAAATGACTCTTAAAATACTTCTCTATAATTTATCTATAGTACTCTATTTCATTCATTCATTTAATAAATTACTTTATATTATTTTGTCAAACTTAATGATATTCTCCACTGTTTTAACAATTTATATAAATCTAGATCTCTTCGATTATCTGTATCAAAAGTTTGTTTCATAATTGGTAGAACTTCTGTACCTATATATTTTAATAATTAATTAATAATTTTTTTTAAAAACACTATTTCTAATTTGAAAAAAAAACAATTTCTTGGTTTATTTATAACATATATTAAATTAAAAACCCGCAATTAAATGAGCCAAGTATGATTGTGTTTATTTAAAATAGAGTATTCTTCTGATCTTTAAATATTTTGAAAAGATTTCATAATTAATTAT